TTATTATTCTTTGCATCCCTTGCCAAGTTCAGCTCCAAACAAGCCTTGGCCCTCCTGACCTCATCCCTACGCAACCAGACAGCATCCCATCCCTGCTTCCACTGCCTGTGTATTTCCTTCTTGCCTTTGAGTTTGACCAGCAGGTCCCAACTCAGCCATCCTGGTCTCTTGCCTTCCTTTCCCGATTTCTTAAACCTGGGGAGCAAGAGCTCTTGTGCTCTGTGGAAAGTGTCCTTAAAGATCTGCGAGCTCTGTTCTGCTCCTTTGTCCCTGAAGGCAGTTTCCCAGGGGGTCCTATTGACTAACTCCTTGAAAAGCTGGAAGTTTACTTTCTTAAAATTCAAGGTCCTGACTTTACTCTTTGACTACCCGATATCCCTCAGGACTGCAAACTCCACCAGTGAATGATCACTGCAGCCCAGCTGCCTCCCATCTTGAGCCAGCAATTAGCTCACTTCCGTTGGTGACCAACAGGTCCAGTAACGCATCCCTGGTAGGGCTGTCTATTACCTGGCTTAAGAAGTTATCCTCAATGCACTCCAGGAGTCTCCTGGATTGCCTACAACTCACCGTGCTACTTTTCCTCCTGTAGCTGGGGTGAGAAGGCTCCATCAATGGAGTCCCCTTGATCAGGCGTCCTGTAGTAGACACCAACCATGAGGTTCCCTTTGTTGCCTTGGTCCCTGATTCTTACCCATAATCTTTCAACCTGCTCGTGGCTATTCTTCAGAGACAGCTCTTCACACTCTATCCACTTCTTCACATAGAGGGCAACACCTCCACCCTTCCTTCCTCACCTGTCCCTTCTGAACAGCCTGTAGCCATTGACAGCTGCACTCCAGTCATGGGATTCGTCCCACCAGGTTTCAGTAACGGCAACTAGGTCATAGCTTTCTAACATCATGGTGGCTTCCAACTCCTCCTGTTTGTTGCCCGTGCTGTGTGCATTGGTGTACAGACACTTCAGCTGGGCTGTTGGCCATGCCACCCTTTTAGAGGAACACCCCTTAGTTCCTTTGAGGTCTTTTGCTGGTGTTTCCCTGTTTGATCCTATTACCTCATTACCTGGCTCATCTCCATTAAGACTTCAAATGCACTGCAGTGTAGCCAGCATCTCTCAGAGCAACAGACTGAGGGCCCTTGCTAGCACTCTATCAGACACTTCAGCTGGGCTGTTGGCCATGCCACCCTTTTAGAGGAACACCCCTTAGTTCCTTTGAGGTCTTTTGCTGGTGTTTCCCTGTTTGATCCTATTACCTCATTACCTGGCTCATCTCCATTAAGACTTCAAATGCACTGCAGTGTAGCCAGCATCTCTCAGAGCAACAGACTGAGGGCCCTTGCTAGCACTCTATCCCCCTAACGTCGGCGTGTCATCCCACAGCTTGTCATGGGTAATTAATGCATATTATCCTGCTCCCCCTTTAAATCTAGTTTAAAGCCCTGCCAGTAAGCCCCACTAGCTTGCAGGCAAAGACTCTCTTCCCCCTTTGAGAAAGGTGAATCCCATCTGATGCCAGCAAGCCATGTAGGCCATCCCATTATCAAAGAACCCAAACTGTGGCAGTGACACTAGCCATGGAGCCATGTATTAATAGACTGGACCCACCTCTTTCTTCCTATGCCGCTGCCCACAACTGAAAGGAGAGAGGGGAAAAAAAGTAACCTGTGAACTGGATTTCCTTACCAACCATCCCAAGGCCCTGAAGTCTCGTTTGATCACCCTTGGACTATGCATTGTGGCTTCATCACCACCCACATGGAAAAGCAGTAGTGAGTAACAGTCCAAAGGTTGTAGCAGGCTAGGGAGTTTCCTAGTGATGTCCTTAACCCAGGCCCAAGGGAGGCAGCAGACTTCCCTAAAAAAAAGGTCTGAGACGATGTGCTCCTGCTCTTCCACCAGTCTCCCCATCCTTTACCACATCCTGATGCATGAATAAAAGCCCTGGGACTTATGATTCTTTCTTCACGTATTTGCAAAATAACATACACAAGCCATAAATTTAAGTTAGTCAATCCACCTGTGAGCTATACAATATTTTGTGCATGTACATGCTGCATAAATGTATGTACAGAGCATGTATTTTAGTTTATAGTATCATACACATACCTATGGTACCGCCAAGTGCCATTGCACCTGACATCTGCGCCAACAATTCAGGCGAGGGTTTAAGGCCTCCAAGAGTTGCTGCTAAACCTCCTGCAACACCAATCATACCCAAAGCATTTCCAAGACGAGCTGTCCCTTGGGTGGACAGACCAGCCAAGGCACCAACACAGCATAAGCCTGAGCCCAGATACATCATCTTTAAAAGAAGAAAAACATCAATATGCATACATGAAGTAGAGACAAATTGCATAATTATAAAAATCTTTCTGATTATTACACAAAAGGGCTGATTTCTCCAGAATGTGTGTAAGTCACAGTTCTTAACCGAAGATAAAACTCTTGACTGTGAGAACTGTTGTACAGGATGTGATAGTGGCCAATTAAAATTTGTTATCTATTAAAACTTTCTCCCCTCTTTATGACCTTACTAAACTTGAGTCAAACCAATTTTTCTCATCAGAAACAAGTTTTTCTTTAGTACAAACCCAAAGCTAAGCTGTCCTGTTCATTATGGGAATAATTTCAGAATTTGCTCACAGCACATCTGAACCCCTGTTTTCAAAAAGTATAAACAAATTTAAATGAACCGAACTGTACATGTCTAGATAACTGAAAAAAAACTCAAATATATTACAAGACCCTGAGTTTGGATGCACTTTTTCCAAACACAGAAGGCAATACACATTGATTTTTCTTACTGTTAAAACAAACGCAAACAGAAGTTTACCATAAAAGGTGCTACAGGTACAATCCCTGTACATGCCTCTGCTGAGATCTCATCCCATACAGATACATACTTCAACTGTCACACCAAGTTGAATTTTCAGAAACATTTAAACCTAAGACTGATTTCTGTAGCTCTAATATTTAAGCTGTAATTTAGGAACATTGTCCAATAAATAACAAAGTACCTGCTGCTCTACAGAAAAAAAAACACCAAAGCTTTTAAAATTTGCAGATTCCGCATCTAGGGTATGACTGCAAATTTGAAGTCAACCAACTTTACATTGGCCTTGTGGGAATACAACAGCTGATGTAAAGACCATGGCCAATTTGCTATTTACTCCTCAGAGCAACCAGTGAAGAAGCATACCATGCTGTGAACAGTGGGCTAAGAGACACAAAGTTATTTTCTTACCTGTTCAATATTATAGCCACCATTGAGAGCAGCTGCATAGCCTCCTACAAATATACCACCTGGAAGTAGGTACAAGTAGTTGTACTCAGGAGGATCTGTGGGACGTTTGAACATATCCAGCATTCTCTGTGTAACTAGAAACCCACCTGGCCAAAGTAAAGGAACAATTTTACAAAAATAGAATCCCAAAGTAAGCATATGCCAAGCTGTAAAAGAAGTATTTCGTTAAACCGTATTACCACACAAGTTTACAACTAATACCAATAAAGCCTCTGAAAAGCTAGTAGTCTGGAAAACCACCAGGAAACAAAGGTGTAATCAAGGCAAGATCCTGTTAAACTTTGGAGGAAATTCATAAAAGGAAGAGCTGGAAAGCCTGGAGGACTTGCACTGGCTCCATACTCTACATTGACTGTAGGACACAGCTTAGTTTATGACTGTGTCCTTTTCCCTAGCTACTCTAGCAAAAAGCAGTATTTTTAAGTCACACTGCTCACTTTCTTATTTTTTTTATTCATGAAGCTGGGACTTCAGAAGCTTGAGCAAGCCACTAGTATATTTTTCAAGTAGGAAAAGGAATACAAGAACAAATGCAGTACTATCTTGGGTTATACAAGAAAAGGTATTTCATATAATCATCATCCAAAGGATATTGTAAAATAAAAATGCACATTTAAATGCTTCCCTAAAAAAAGATCACACCACAGGATGTGCAAACCAGATACAATAACTACTTTGAAAATTTGGGAGGGGTGGTTCTTTCTTGATGGATGCTCTCAGATCCTATTCCTAGAACAGTATTTCTGGAATGCATACAATTAAAGAGCTAGAAGAAATGAATGAATTACACAAGTGCTTTGAAGTTACCCTCAGGAGAAAACCTAACATTCATACCTGCAATATTGACTGAAGAGATAAATGCCGAAAGCACTGCTAGACTTTGAGGAGTGTTTTCAGGGAGATAGCTTCCTCCCATCAATACCAGCCCACCAACTGCAGTTAGTCCTATTTAAAAGAGAAAAAAGTCTTACTGAGCTTTAGAAGGCTCTATACCTATAGCAAGTTTCCTTTCAGATGTCAAACAGGTAACAGTCAACTCAAATTTTGACCCCTACTCTACACATTACTATTTAAACAAAAACTACCGTAGTCTTTTTCAGCAATACAAACATGTTTCAAAAGAAAAAAAAAAATCAGTATGTGAACATAGTGTTGAAGTACAGTGCCTCAAGCACCGAGCCAGCCTCCAAGTACTTGTCTGATGAAAGAAACTTTGCTTTTAACAGTAAAATAGATCAAACTTGTGACCTGTCACCTATATACTCACACAGATATATAAAATTTTACATATTTATAGAATTATAAATCTTAGGAGTCACTTCAGATTTTTTCTTTTTCCCCTATCTTGAAACACACAGTTTGAGAAGAAGAAAAAAAAAGAATGTAGAAAATACAAAAAACGAGTTATTTTCAGAGCCAGGTTTAGGACAGATGGGAGGAAAGATGTCTTCTATGAAAGGAGAGACTGCAGCACTCCAAGTAAAACAAACTTTAAAGCAAATAGGTTAAGAATGAAAAATCACGTATAAAAATTAAAAATACACAGCACCACATTTGCCCTTCTTTTGAAAAAGCCATGCTCTCAGAACAAGTATGTTTCAGGTGTCCTTGTTATTTATAAAATGCAAAGTAGTACTAGGTTCTTTGTAATTTTAAAAGGCATATCAGCAGACTTCTGTCTAAAGTTCAAGTAAAAGGAGCTGTGCCTACTACAAACAGAAAATAAGCAGTTGTGTGACAGCTACTCACCTGAGATAGCATTAGTTACTGACATGAGTGGAGAGTGAAGAGCAGGAGTCACACCCCATACTGTATGGTACCCCACTATTCCAGCTAGGCCAAATGTTGTCACCATTTGCGTGAAAGCAGTATTAGGAGCAACAATGCCCAGTCCTAACATGCCAGTTAAACCTAGAAGAAAAGCACAGCAAAACTTTCCTGTAACTTTTCAATGGTTTCTTACATTTAACCTCAGTACAACAGGAGTCCAGTATTGAGCTAAAGGCAAAATGGAGTTTTGTGCATGTATTTGCTTCAAGATCAGCTGGATCATCTTTGTCAACTACAAGGCTTTTTCGGTGCTAGTGGTTTTTTTTACAATAGAAAATAAAACCATAAATATAATACAGACATCTTTGTTATGCATGCACAGAAAGCAGCAAAGATACGTTTCTACACCAACGCTGAATCCTGTCACTTTCCTGTTCCATAGCAAAAATGTAGAAGAGTCACAATCATGTTGAGGTACTACTTGGAAGACTCAAAACATGCATATGAAGAACAGAGGTTAAAAATGAAGCATACTCAATTCATTAATTACCTCATGCAGAAGTTTGATGCACCCAGAATACCAAATGACAAGAAGAGCCAATACTTATTTGTCAAGACAAATGTCCTACTCTCAGTACTTCAGTAGATTGTGGGCATTTAAGTCTCACACAACACATTGAAGTTTGAAGAAAGCAATAGCACTGAATTGATTTTGCTGCAAAGTACGGACACAGTACGTAGTAGGAGTCCTTCAGAATTTTAAGTATTTTACTGATATTTAAATAAAGCCAAACACACATACATGCACACAGCATGAGTCAGCACTGTTTGAAATGTTAATACTTCTGGTTAAATTTTTGAAATTTTATTTTCCCCTCTCAAAAGCATTATTACACTACACTGATTTTGCACTAGGATACACCAGCCAATCAACTGCTCTCCCAACTAGTTATTAAATTGAATGAATAAGATGAGGAGTCACTTAAAGAGTATTAGCCAAATAAGGAGCACTCTACACTGATTCTCCAACTCTAGAAGTTGCCTACCTGCTGTGTATACAGATGCACTAGTCATAGTTTTTCTAAAAGGTGTAATAGTAGCTGCTTTTTCCGCTTCCAGCTCTGCTACAGTCTTCTGCTTCACAGGGGCTCCTTGAGGAATGTTATTTGGTGGAGGTGCTGGGAAAATCACCTTGCCATCCTGACAAGAGATATTTACAGTTATCCCTAACATGGCAGATGCTTTATAGTTAGAGGAGCCTATTCTCCTTAATCCTGCAACTCAGGTAACACTTAACATCCTACAGCCATGCCACAGGAACATCTTCCTTTTCCACATCAGCAGAAGTTTGCAAGGCTGGATGATCAGTACAGCCTGACGAAGTTAACCATACTGGTTTACACATTTTTTCAGAAAAGATTTGTATCAGTGGCCTGGCAGAAACACAGCACAAGGCTTGAAAGCAAAAAACAAAACAAAGAGTTGAGGTTTCTTAAATGGACAACATTTATGGCAAAATAAAACAGGGTCTTGGAAATAGAAAATGACCTGAACTGTAATCAGACCCTGTCCAGACCTCAGCTAGGTACCAAGCACGATGTCTCGCATTTCTCGCTGTTTTTCAGGCCTCTAGAAGAATAACTGGTGGAGCTGTCAGACCTGAGCTGTACACACCACTTCGGTGGGGAGAGCTGAAGTCAATGCATGCCTCCTCCAGAGCAGATATCATAAGCATTACAAAATGTTGGCAATATTATGCAGCAAAACTCAACAGAAATCAATACCTCTTACCTAAACTGCAAATTATTATTTCCTAATAGTTGCAGGAGGAGAGCCCATACTAGCCCATGTCCTAAGTTTGTATGTTATTATTTCCTAGTAGAGCTTAAAGTATCCTGTGTATTCTAGATCCCCCAGCTTTTTCTGAAGTTAGTCTTATAAGAACAGAAATATGTATTTATTTATTAAAAAAAAAAAAAAAAAAAA